TATGTGTGTGTATGTGTATATATATATATATATATATATATATATATATGAATGATAAATCACAAGATAATTACAGATGTAACCTAAAAAAAATATTTAGAAATAAAATAATTAGTGAATATATTTGAAAAAAATCATATTTGTGATAATCATTTCTAAAATATATAATACATAAAAGTAAAAATATAAATAAAAATATGTTTAATCATAAGGCATGTTCAGAATTATGATTAATAATGTTAATTACAAACATACAAGATAGGAATTCATTGTCTGAAGATGAAAAAAAGAATACTTACATCATCTTCTAAGGAGAAAGCATGATTTTGTGAATCCAAAGTCTTTACCGTAAGATCAATCATCGTTAATCCGTCTTCACTGCTACGGTAGAACTAAAATTGAAGGAAATGAATAATATTAGGACGAATGTGCGTAATACCAAATTGTCTTCTACACTCACGCAGGCACGTAGATATAAGTCTGTAAACGACACTTGATTAGTAGCTAGTATCGAAGAGAAATATTCAATATCTAAAATACGAGAAATATAATAATTTTAATGCGAATTGATTACGTAATTAAAATTTAGCATTGCGTTTTTATAGTGCAATCGTTTTTTTAATGAACCTACCGATGAAATTTTATAGCGACGATATGACACGATACACGTTATTTTACCCAGAATTCGCTTCAGCGACACCACAGGCGTTGCCAATATATTGGTTCAATTATTCCCTAGATAGAACAGAATTCAGAATTGATAAGAATCATATTTCTGTTATACGCACATATCTTGAAGTTTCTTTAATATCTACTAGATGACACCAGTAAATTAAACAAACGACGAAATATATGAATTAATTACTTATGTCATTGATTTGAATCAATAAATTAATTACTTTTATTTAAAATAAACTTTGTTTGTAAATAACATATTTATAAAAAATTAGAAATAAAATATTATATATCAATAAAAGTTTAAGAATTAAGATTAATATAAACATTTGCATTGTTTATAAAATTCTCATGCAATAAATTATATTTTTTAATTAATATCTATTCAAAATACCTTATATGTAAATTATCCATTTTACATATTTTTTTTTAAATCATACTTCTTTGCAAATTCTTTATATTTATATTTACATGTTACACTATAAATATAAAAAAAAAAAATTCAAACCTTACTTCTTAATTTTTAGCAACTTGAAACTTAAGAAAATAAAGATAAATAAAGAAAAATAAAGAAGCTATCGTTGCAATATTCAGCTTTATCGACGGAATCCCAAGTACACGATACAAAATTCACTTTCGATTGCATTATTCCTTAAGGTGTCGCTTTGAAGCATGAAGTCGAATAACAAATATCGAAACATCTGTATCGATCTGTACCAGTAGCAGAAATCGATGCATCTTTTCGCGGTCAGATGAAAATAATTCGAGTGCTACCAGCGAATATCGAAAGCGAGGCATCAACTCGCCATGGACATCGCGTGATCTGTACGAAGATGAAAAAGAGAAGCAGAAAAGACTCATGGCAGGCCGATCGCATTATTCAGATTAGGGCATCGACTGAGCCACGCGAGTATGCGAGTACACGCGTTTCTTTGTATGCGTATGCACGTGTACGTACTTATATCGGTAGAAGATAATACGGCCGATCGTGCACCGCAGAAGAATGTTAATGGTGCTTCAGTTTTGTATGCAGGAAGTGACGGCGCGTCCCGTCT